CCCGGCCACAGATGAAGCGGAAGAAAATGGAATGGAATGGAATGGAACAATAAAACAGTTTAAAAGGATTAAAAAAGTGCACTGTGCTCTGTGTGAAAAGTGTTAAAATTCAGTCTAAATATATAAATATGACTGTGTTTAAGAGAATCTGGACTAAATTTATGCTTTCTTAATCTGCTTCTGCGTTTCTCTCTCTCTGTCTCTATATCCTGTGTTTTCAAATAGTAATGGAATTGATCAGATGTCTATAGTCTACAAAAATTAATACTATATTTTGGAGCGGACTGATAAAAATAAACCAATGGGATTCGTTCATCTCCAACGAACCAATGGGATGTGTTTACCGCCTTCACCCTCTTCCTGTTTCTCAGACTGCACCGGAGTTATCGGATTTAAAACCTAAAATGGCTGAACAGAAAATGACAATTTCACATTTGCTTCTCTCTCCCTGTGACAAAGAAAAGAAAAGGCTGGATGTTTGGTTTGGTGGAGAGGGAGGGGAGGGGGAGTGGTTTGGTGGAGAGGGAGGGGAGGGGGAGTGGTTTGGTGGAGAGGGAGGGGAGGGGGAGTGGTTTGATGGAGAGGGAGGGGAGGGGGGAGTGGGTTCCAGTTGGTGCTACGGCTAAGCTAACTTCCTGCACCTTTAAGAATGGGAAAAGATGATGCCACAGTGAAGCTCATTGGTCGTCTGGGACAACGGCATTTCCAAAACCTCAGTTTGTTTTACGTACATTATGTTCTTCTGTGATTCCTCCTCTGGTTCCTGCTCTGGTTCCTGCTCTGGTTCCTCTTCTGGTTCCTGCTCTGGTTCCTCCTCTGGTTCCTCCTCTGGTTCCTGCTCTGGTTCCTCCTCTGGTTCCTGCTCTGGTTCCTCCTCTGGTTCCTGCTCTCGTTCCTCTTCTGGTTCCTGCTCTGGTTCCTCCTCTGGTTCCTGCTCTGGTTCCTCCTCTGGTTCCTGCTCTGGTTCTTCCTCTGGTTCCTCCTCTGGTTCCTGCTCTGGTTCCTGCTCTGGTTCCTCCTCTGGGTCCTCCTCTGGTTCCTCCTCTGGTTCCTCCTGTGGTTCCTCCTCTGGGTCCTCCTCTGGTTCCTCCTCTGGTTCCTCCTCTGGTTCCTGCTCTGGTTCCTGCTCTGGTTCCTCCTCTGGTTCCTCCTCTGGTTCCTCCTCTGGTTCCTCCTCTGGTTCCTGCTCTGGTTCCTCCTCTGGTTCCTGCTCTGGTTCCTCTTCTGGTTCCTGCTCTGGTTCCTCCTCTGGTTCCTGCTCTGGTTCCTCCTCTGGTTCCTGCTCTGGTTCCTCCTCTGGTTCCTGCTCTGGTTCCTCCTCTGGTTCCTCCTCTGGTTCCTGCTCTGGTTCCTCCTCTGGTTCCTCCTCTTGTTCCTGCTCTGGTTCCTCCTCTGGTTCCTCCTCTGGTTCCTGCTCTGGTTCCTCCTCTGGTTCCTCCTCTGGTTCCTCCTCTGGTTCCTCCTCTGGTTCCTCCTCTGGTTCCTCCTCTGGTTCCTGCTCTGGTTCCTCCTCTGGTTCCTCCTCTGGTTCCTCCTCTGGTTCCTGCTCTGGTTCCTCCTCTGGTTCCTCCTCTGGTTCCTCCTCTGGTTCCTCCTCTGGTTCCTCCTCTGGTTCCTCCTCTGGTTCCTGCTCTGGTTCCTCCTCTGGTTCCTCCTCTGGTTCCTGCTCTGGTTCCTCCTCTGGTCCTCCTCTGGTTCCTCCTCTGGTTCCTCCTCTGGTTCCTCCTCTGGTTCCTGCTCTGGTTCCTGCTCTGGTTCCTCCTCTGGTTCCTCTTCTGGTTCCTGCTCTGGTTCCTCCTCTGGTTCCTCCTCTGGTTCCTGCTCTGGTTCCTCCTCTGGTTCCTCCTCTGGTTCCTGCTCTGGTTCCTCCTCTGGTTCCTCCTCTGGTTCCTCCTCTGGTTCCTCCTCTGGTTCCTGCTCTGGTTCCTCCTCTGGTTCCTGCTCTGGTTCCTCCTCTGGTTCCTCCTCTGGTTCCTCCTCTGGTTCCTCCTCTGGTTCCTCCTCTGGTTCCTGCTCTGGTTCTCCTTCCTCTGGTTCCTCCTCTGGTTCCTCCTCTGGTTCCTGCTCTGGTTCCTGCTCTGGTTCCTGCTCTGGTTCCTCCTCTGGGTCCTCCTCTGGTTCCTCCTCTGGTTCCTCCTCTTGTTCCTGCTCTGGTTCCTCCTCTGGTTCCTCCTCTGGTTCCTGCTCTGGTTCCTCCTCTGGTTCCTCCTCTGGTTCCTCCTCTGGTTCCTCCTCTGGTTCCTGCTCTGGTTCCTCCTCTGGTTCCTGCTCTGGTTCCTCCTCTGGTTCCTCCTCTGGTTCCTGCTCTGGTTCCTCCTCTGGTTCCTACTCTGGTTCCTCCTCTGGTTCCTCCTCTGGTTCCTGCTCTGGTTCCTCCTCTGGTTCCTCCTCTGGTTCCTGCTCTGGTTCCTCCTCTGGGTCCTCCTCTGGTTCCTCCTCTGGTTCCTCCTCTGGTTCCTCCTCTGGTTCCTCCTCTGGTTCCTGCTCTGGTTCCTGCTCTGGTTCCTCCTCTGGTTCCTCTTCTGGTTCCTGCTCTGGTTCCTCCTCTGGGTCCTCCTCTGGTTCCTCCTCTGGTTCCTCCTCTGGTTCCTGCTCTGGTTCCTCCTCTGGTTCCTCCTCTGGTTCCTGCTCTGGTTCCTCCTCTGGTTCCTCCTCTGGTTCCTCCTCTGGTTCCTGCTCTGGTTCCTCCTCTGGTTCCTGCTCTGGTTCCTCCTCTGGTTCCTCCTCTGGTTCCTCCTCTGGTTCCTGCTCTGGTTCCTCCTCTGGTTCCTGCTCTGGTTCCTCCTCTGGTTCCTCCTCTGGTTCCTGCTCTGGTTCCTCCTCTGGTTCCTCCTCTGGTTCCTCCTCTGGTTCCTCCTCTGGTTCCTGCTCTGGTTCCTCCTCTGGTTCCTCCTCTGGTTCCTCCTCTGGTTCCTCCTCTGGTTCCTGCTCTGGTTCCTGCTCTGGTTCCTCCTCTGGTTCCTCCTCTGGTTCCTGCTCTGGTTCCTGCTCTGGTTCCTGCTCTGGTTCCTCCTCTGGGTCCTCCTCTGGTTCCTCCTCTGGTTCCTCCTCTTGTTCCTGCTCTGGTTCCTCCTCTGGTTCCTCCTCTGGTTCCTGCTCTGGTTCCTCCTCTGGTTCCTCTGGTTCCTCTCTGGTTCCTCCTCTGGTTCCTCCTCTGGTTCCTCCTCTGGTTCCTGCTCTGGTTCCTCCTCTGGTTCCTCCTCTGGTTCCTACTCTGGTTCCTCCTCTGGTTCCTCCTCTGGTTCCTGCTCTGGTTCCTCCTCTGGTTCCTCCTCTGGTTCCTGCTCTGGTTCTGGTTCCTCCTCTGGTTCCTCCTCTGGTTCCTCCTCTGGTTCCTCCTCTGGTTCCTGCTCTGGTTCCTGCTCTGGTTCCTCCTCTGGTTCCTCTTCTGGGTTCCTGCTCTGGTTCCTCCTCTGGGTCCTCCTCTGGTTCCTCCTCTGGTTCCTCCTCTGGTTCCTGCTCTGGTTCCTCCTCTGGTTCCTCCTCTGGTTTCCTGCTCTGGTTCCTCCTCTGGTTCCTCCTCTGGTTCCTCCTCTGGTTCCTGCTCTGGTTCCTCCTCTGGTTCCTCCTCTGGTTCCTCCTCTGGTTCCTCCTCTGGTTCCTGCTCTGGTTCCTCCTCTGGTTCCTCCTCTGGTTCCTCCTCTGGTTCCTCCTCTGGTTCCTGCTCTGGTTCCTCCTCTGGTTCCTGCTCTGGTTCCTCCTCTGGTTCCTCCTCTGGTTCCTGCTCTGGTTCCTCCTCTGGTTCCTCCTCTGGTTCCTGCTCTGGTTCCTCCTCTGGTTCCTCCTCTGGTTCCTCCTCTGGTTCCTCCTCTGGTTCCTCCTCTGGTTCCTGCTCTGGTTCCTCCTCTGGTTCCTCCTCTGGTTCCTCCTCTGGTTCCTCTTCTGGTTCCTGCTCTGGTTCCTCCTCTGGGTCCTCCTCTGGTTCCTCCTCTGGTTCCTCCTCTGGTTCCTGCTCTGGTTCCTCCTCTGGTTCCTCCTCTGGTTCCTGCTCTGGTTCCTCCTCTGGTTCCTCCTCTGGTTCCTCCTCTGGTTCCTCCTCTGGTTCCTGCTCTGGTTCCTCCTCTGGTTCCTCCTCTGGTTCCTCCTCTGGTTCCTCCTCTGGTTCCTGCTCTGGTTCCTCCTCTGGTTCCTCCTCTGGTTTCCTCCTCTGGTTCCTCCTCTGGTTCCTGCTCTGGTTCCTCCTCTGGTTCCTGCTCTGGTTCCTCCTCTGGTTCCTCCTCTGGTTCCTGCTCTGGTTCCTGCTCTGGTTCCTCCTCTGGTTCCTCCTCTGGTTCCTGCTCTGGTTCCTCCTCTGGTTCCTGCTCTGGTTCCTGCTCTGGTTCCTGCTCTGGTTCCTCCTCTGGTTCCTCCTCTGGTTCCTGCTCTGGTTCCTCCTCTGGTTCCTCCTCTGGTTCCTCCTCTGGTTCCTCCTCTGGTTCCTGCTCTGGTTCCTCCTCTGGTTCCTGCTCTGGTTCCTCTTCTGGTTCCTGCTCTGGTTCCTCCTCTGGTTCCTGCTCTGGTTCCTCCTCTGGTTCCTGCTCTGGTTCCTCCTCTGGTTCCTGCTCTGGTTCCTCCTCTGGTTCCTCCTCTGGTTCCTGCTCTGGTTCCTCCTCTGGTTCCTCCTCTTGTTCCTGCTCTGGTTCCTCCTCTGGTTCCTCCTCTGGTTCCTGCTCTGGTTCCTGCTCTGGTTCCTCCTCTGGTTCCTCCTCTGGTTCCTCCTCTGGTTCCTCCTCTGGTTCCTCCTCTGGTTCCTCCTCTGGTTCCTCCTCTGGTTCCTGCTCTGGTTCCTCCTCTGGTTCTGTTCCTCTGGTTCCTCCTCTGGTTCCTCCTCTGGTTCCTCCTCTGGTTCCTCCTCTGGTTCCTCCTCTGGTTCCTCCTCTGGTTCCTCCTCTGGTTCCTGCTCTGGTTCCTCCTCTGGTTCCTCCTCTGGTTCCTGCTCTGGTTCCTCCTCTGGGTCCTCCTCTGGTTCCTCCTCTGGTTCCTCCTCTGGTTCCTCCTCTGGTTCCTGCTCTGGTTCCTGCTCTGGTTCCTCCTCTGGTTCCTCTTCTGGTTCCTGCTCTGGTTCCTCCTCTGGGTCCTCCTCTGGTTCCTCCTCTGGTTCCTCCTCTGGTTCCTGCTCTGGTTCCTCCTCTGGTTCCTCCTCTGGTTCCTGCTCTGGTTCCTCCTCTGGTTCCTCCTCTGGTTCCTCCTCTGGTTCCTCCTCTGGTTCCTCCTCTGGTTCCTGCTCTGGTTCCTCCTCTGGTTCCTGCTCTGGTTCCTCCTCTGGTTCCTCCTCTGGTTCCTCCTCTGGTTCCTGCTCTGGTTCCTCCTCTGGTTCCTCCTCTGGTTCCTCCTCTGGTTCCTGCTCTGGTTCCTGCTCTGGTTCCTGCTCTGGTTCCTGGTTCCTCCTCTGGTCCTCCTCTGGTTCCTCCTCTGGTTCCTCCTCTTGTTCCTGCTCTGGTTCCTCCTCTGGTTCCTCCTCTGGTTCCTGCTCTGGTTCCTCCTCTGGTTCCTCCTCTGGTTCCTCCTCTGGTTCCTCCTCTGGTTCCTGCTCTGGTTCCTCCTCTGGTTCCTGCTCTGGTTCCTCCTCTGGTTCCTCCTCTGGTTCCTCCTCTGGTTCCTGCTCTGGTTCCTCCTCTGGTTCCTCCTCTGGTTCCTACTCTGGTTCCTCCTCTGGTTCCTCCTCTGGTTTGCTCTGGTTCCTCCTCTGGTTCCTCCTCTGGTTCCTGCTCTGGTTCCTCCTCTGGGTCCTCCTCTGGTTCCTCCTCTGGTTCCTCCTCTGGTTCCTCCTCTGGTTCCTCCTCTGGTTCCTGCTCTGGTTCCTGCTCTGGTTCCTCCTCTGGTTCCTCTTCTGGTTCCTGCTCTGGTTCCTCCTCTGGGTCCTCCTCTGGTTCCTCCTCTGGTTCCTCCTCTGGTTCCTCCTCTGGTTCCTCCTCTGGTTCCTCCTCTGGTTCCTGCTCTGGTTTCTCTCCTCTGGTTCCTCCTCTGGTTCCTCCTCTGGTTCCTCCTCTGGTTCCTGCTCTGGTTCCTCCTCTGGTTCCTGCTCTGGTTCCTCCTCTGGTTCCTCCTCTGGTTCCTCCTCTGGTTCCTGCTCTGGTTCCTCCTCTGGTTCCTGCTCTGGTTCCTCCTCTGGTTCCTCCTCTGGTTCCTGCTCTGGTTCCTCCTCTGGTTCCTCCTCTGGTTCCTCCTCTGGTTCCTCCTCTGGTTCCTGCTCTGGTTCCTCCTCTGGTTCCTCCTCTGGTTCCTCCTCTGGTTCCTGCTCTGGTTCCTCCTCTGGTTCCTCCTCTGGTTCCTCCTCTGGTTCCTGCTCTGGTTCCTGCTCTGGTTCCTGCTCTGGTTCCTCCTCTGGGTCCTCCTCTGGTTCCTCCTCTGGTTCCTCCTCTTGTTCCTGCTCTGGTTCCTCCTCTGGTTCCTCCTCTGGTTCCTGCTCTGGTTCCTCCTCTGGTTCCTCCTCTGGTTCCTCCTGGTTCTCCTCTGGTTCCTCCTCTGGTTCCTCCTCTGGTTCCTCCTCTGGTTCCTGCTCTGGTTCCTCCTCTGGTTCCTGCTCTGGTTCCTCCTCTGGTTCCTCCTCTGGTTCCTCCTCTGGTTCCTGCTCTGGTTCCTCCTCTGGTTCCTCCTCTGGTTCCTACTCTGGTTCCTCCTCTGGTTCCTCCTCTGGTTCCTGCTCTGGTTCCTCCTCTGGTTCCTCCTCTGGTTCCTGCTCTGGTTCCTCCTCTGGGTCCTCCTCTGGTTCCTCCTCTGGTTCCTCCTCTGGTTCCTCCTCTGGTTCCTGCTCTGGTTCCTGCTCTGGTTCCTCCTCTGGTTCCTCTTCTGGTTCCTGCTCTGGTTCCTCCTCTGGGTCCTCCTCTGGTTCCTCCTCTGGTTCCTCCTCTGGTTCCTGCTCTGGTTCCTCCTCTGGTTCCTCCTCTGGTTCCTGCTCTGGTTCCTCCTCTGGTTCCTCCTCTGGTTTCCCTGGTTCCTCTGGTTCCTCCTCTGGTTCCTGCTCTGGTTCCTCCTCTGGTTCCTCCTCTGGTTCCTCCTCTGGTTCCTCCTCTGGTTCCTGCTCTGGTTCCTCCTCTGGTTCTCTCTGGTTTCCTCCTCTGGTTCCTCCTCTGGTTCCTCCTCTGGTTCCTGCTCTGGTTCCTCCTCTGGTTCCTGCTCTGGTCCTCTCTGTCTCTCTGGTTCCTGCTCTGGTTCCTGCTCTGGTTCCTCCTCTGGTTCCTCCTCTGGTTCCTGCTCTGGTTCCTGCTCTGGTTCCTGCTCTGGTTCCTGCTCTGGTTCCTGCTCTGGTTCCTCCTCTGGTTCCTCCTCTGGTTCCTCCTCTGGTTCTCTCTGTCTCTGGTTCCTCCTCTGGTTCCTGCTCTGGTTCCTGCTCTGGTTCCTCCTCTGGTTCCTCTTCTGGTTCCTGCTCTGGTTCCTCCTCTGGGTCCTCCTCTGGTTCCTCCTCTGGTTCCTCCTCTGGTTCCTGCTCTGGTTCCTCCTCTGGTTCCTCCTCTGGTTCCTGCTCTGGTTCCTCCTCTGGTTCCTCCTCTGGTTCCTCCTCTGGTTCCTCCTCTGGTTCCTGCTCTGGTTCCTCCTCTGGTTCCTCCTCTGGTTCCTCCTCTGGTTCCTCCTCTGGTTCCTGCTCTGGTTCCTCCTCTGGTTCCTCCTCTGGTTCCTCCTCTGGTTCCTCCTCTGGTTCCTGCTCTGGTTCCTCCTCTGGTTCCTGCTCTGGTTCCTCCTCTGGTTCCTGCTCTGGTTCCTGCTCTGGTTCCTCCTCTGGTTCCTCCTCTGGTTCCTGCTCTGGTTCCTCCTCTGGTTCCTGCTCTGGTTCCTGCTCTGGTTCCTGCTCTGGTTCCTCCTCTGGTTCCTCCTCTGGTTCCTCCTCTGGTTCCTCCTCTGGTTCCTCCTCTGGTTCCTGCTCTGGTTCCTGCTCTGGTTCCTGCTCTGGTTCCTGCTCTGGTTCCTCAGAGACACACACTGACAACAACAATGAATGAAGACAAAGGCTGGAGAGAAGCGCTTTAGCACCTGAACCCTGCTGAGGACAGTAAACGTCTGCAGGAGATTTATTCTGCTGTACATTGAGAATGTTCAATTCCCTTCACCGCAATAACACTGCTCCAGCTGCTACGGGCATCAGCAAACTCTGAGAGGAGACTACAACAGGACAACAATATTCTACGCTTCATTTCAGACGCAGTAAAACACGTCACAACTACAAACTTTATGCAAGAAATAGGAATATCAATCTGTACTCTCTGGTCCATCATCATGTCCTGCAGGTAACGTCTGGGTCTGGTCCCTGTGTTTGCGATTACAATCAGCTGAATTTTGACCGACCAATCAGAGAGCGCGGGAGGCGGGTGTTGTAGTTAGATGTGGGTAATGTCAAGAGTTTGTGTCGAACGGGAAGGTTGTAGTTTGGTGAAGAATGTGATAGTAAAGTATTCTGGTCTGGTTCTATCAAGAAATTGAAGCCGGAGCACCACCAGACCTTAGTACGAAATGCAATTTGTGCTATTGTGCGGTAAGACCAGGCTAGCCCAGTAGTAGCATCAATAAATACTTTTAATCACCAATAAATATGTATTAGTGATGTCCCGGTGATGACTGTGGAATGATCAGAAAGGCCGGAGGGTGTGGTCGGGAACGCTTTGACCAACGGTGATGTTGGAAGATTAAGATATAGATAATAATAATAACAATAATAATAATAATAACAAATATAATTGTATTTAAAAGGGCATGTATTTTCTGGGGGTGCGCTTTATGTCAATCTTCACTTGTGTGTTTTTATTGTTCCTAAATAACACAATTCTGCTCTCGATGTGAAGTTAAATGACCACTATTTGCATTCACTGAATAAATACAATCTTTTTTTATTGTGAATTTCAAAACAATTCACCGATTTTAAAAGCACACAAATCTCCGTCCCACTCTGATTACAGTTTGGTTTGTATTTTAGCTTCGCAGACGTTCCGTACGGTGCACTCTGAGCCGTGGCCTCGTTACTCCCTGGACACACCGTCCCGTCTCAGTATCTGGACCGTGGACCGCTTCCTCCACAGAGACCGGAGTGAGTCTGTGAGAGAGACCGGAGTGAGTCTGTGAGAGAGACCGGTGTGAGTCTGTGAGAGAGACCGGAGTGAGTCTGTGAGAGAGACCGGTGTGAGTCTGTGAGAGAGACCGGAGTGAGTCTGTGAGAGAGACCGGTGTGAGTCTGTGAGAGAGACCGGTGTGAGTCTGTGAGAGAGACCGGAGTGAGTCTGTGAGAGAGACCGGTGTGAGTCTGTGAGAGAGACCGGAGTGAGTCTGTGAGAGAGACCGGAGTGAGTCTGTGAGAGAGACCGGTGTGAGTCTGTGAGAGAGACCGGTGTGAGTCTGTGTGAGAGAGACCGGTGTGAGTCTGTGAGAGAGACCGGAGTGAGTCTGTGAGAGAGACCGGTGTGAGTCTGTGAGAGAGACCGGAGTGAGTCTGTGAGAGAGACCGGTGTGAGTCTGTGAGAGAGACCGGAGTGAGTCTGTGAGAGAGACCGGAGTGAGTCTGTGAGAGAGACCGGTGTGAGTCTGTGAGAGAGACCGGTGTGAGTCTGTGAGAGAGACCGGAGTGAGTCTGTGAGAGAGACCGGTGTGAGTCTGTGAGAGAGACCGGAGTGAGTCTGTGAGAGAGACCGGTGTGAGTCTGTGAGAGAGACCGGTGTGAGTCTGCGAGAGAGACCGGAGTGAGTCTGCGAGAGAGACCGGAGTGAGTCTGTGAGAGAGACCGGTGTGAGTCTGTGAGAGAGACCGGAGTGAGTCTGTGAGAGAGACCGGAGTGAGTCTGTGAGAGAGACCGGTGTGAGTCTGTGAGAGAGACCGGAGTGAGTCTGTGAGAGGAGACCGGTGTGAGTCTGTGAGAGAGACCGGTGTGAGTCTGCGAGAGAGACCGGTGTGAGTCTGTGAGAGAGACCGGTGTGAGTCTGTGAGAGAGACCGGAGTGAGTCTGTGAGAGAGACCAGTGTGAGTCTGTGAGAGAGACCGGAGTGAGTCTGTGAGAGAGACCGGTGTGAGTCTGTGAGAGAGACCGGTGTGAGTCTGCGAGAGAGACCGGAGTGAGTCTGTGAGAGAGACCGGTGTGAGTCTGTGAGAGAGACCGGAGTGAGTCTGTGAGAGAGACCGGTGTGAGTCTGTGAGAGAGACCGGAGTGAGTCTGTGAGAGAGACCGGTGTGAGTCTGTGTGAGAGACCGGAGTGAGTCTGTGAGAGAGACCGGTGTGAGTCTGTGAGAGAGACCGGAGTGAGTCTGTGAGAGAGACCGGTGTGAGTCTGTGAGAGAGACCGGAGTGAGTCTGTGAGAGAGACCGGAGTGAGTCTGTGAGAGAGACCGGAGTGAGTCTGTGAGAGAGACCGGAGTGAGTCTGTGAGAGAGACCGGTGTGAGTCTGTGAGAGAGACCGGTGTGAGTCTGTGAGAGAGACCGGAGTGAGTCTGTGAGAGAGACCGGAGTGAGTCTGTGAGAGAGACCGGAGTGAGTCTGTGAGAGAGACCGGAGTGAGTCTGTGAGAGAGACCGGTGTGAGTCTGTGAGAGAGACCGGTGTGAGTCTGTGAGAGAGACTGGAGTGAGTCTGTGTGAGAGAGACCGGTGTGAGTCTGTGAGAGAGACCGGAGTGAGTCTGTGAGAGAGACCGGTGTGAGTCTGTGAGAGAGACCGGAGTGAGTCTGTGAGAGAGACCGGAGTGAGTCTGTGAGAGAGACCGGTGTGAGTCTGTGAGAGAGACCGGAGTGAGTCTGTGAGAGAGACCGGAGTGAGTCTGTGAGAGAGACCGGAGTGAGTCTGTGAGAGAGACCGGTGTGAGTCTGTGAGAGAGACCGGAGTGAGTCTGTGAGAGAGACCGGAGTGAGTCTGTGAGAGAGACCGCTATGAGTCTGTGAGAGAGACCGGTGTGAGTCTGTGAGAGAGACCGGTGTGAGTCTGTGAGAGAGACCGGTGTGAGTCTGTGAGAGAGACCGGAGTGAGTCTGTGAGAGAGACCGGAGTGAGTCTGTGAGAGAGACCAGTTTGAGTCTGTGAGAGAGACCGGTGTGAGTCTGTGAGAAAGACCGGAGTGAGTCTGTGAGAGAGACCGGAGTGAGTCTGTGAGAGAGACCGCTATGAGTCTGTGAGAGAGACCGGAGTGAGTCTGTGAGAAAGACCGGAGTGAGACTGTGAGAGAGACCAGTTTGAGTCTGTGAGAGAGACCGGTGTGAGTCTGTGAGAGAGACCAGAGTGAGTCTGTGAGAGAGACCGGAGTGAGTCTGTGAGAGAGACCAGTTTGAGTCTGTGAGAGAGACCGGTGTGAGTCTGTGAGAAAGACCGGAGTGAGTCTGTGAGAGAGACCGGAGTGAGTCTGTGAGAGAGACCGCTATGAGTCTGTGAGAGAGACCGGAGTGAGTCTGTGAGAAAGACCGGAGTGAGACTGTGAGAGAGACCGGAGTGAGTCTGTGAGAGAGACCAGTTTGAGTCTGTGAGAGAGACCGGTGTGAGTCTGTGAGAGAGACCGGTGTGAGTCTGTGAGAGAGACCGGTGTGAGTCTGTGAGAGAGACCGGAGTGAGTCTGTGAGAGAGACCGGAGTGAGTCTGTGAGAAAGACCGGAGTGAGACTGTGAGAGAGACCGGAGTGAGTCTGTGAGAGAGACCGGTGTGAGTCTGTGAGAGAGACCGGAGTGAGTCTGTGAGAGAGACCGGAGTGAGTCTCCTGCTCCTCCTGGTCCTCACTGATTCTCCTGCAGGAGCTGAGTCTACAGGACGGGCATCAGACAAAGTGGGTTAAGTGTCTTGCCCAAGGACACAACGACAGCAGACATCAGTGGGAGTCGGTGGAGAAAGTCTTGTGGTGGACTCGAACCCACGACCTTCAGGCTCAAAGGCCAATGCTCTACCAACTGAGCCACTATCGCCCACCATGTCCTGTACTTTTAATAATATGTTTAAGTATATTTTAAGGCGTCTTTGGGGGTCCTGAAAGACACTATGAAATAAAATGTATTATTATTATTATTATTATAAAACATATATATCTCCATCTTCCCAGCGGAGACTGCATCATACTCGTGGGTTCCGAGCACAGAACACGCTGCAGGCAAGAAACCTACTCCGGCTTTTTTCCTTTGTAAAATATGTTGATGTAATTCTGACTAATCTAATAATCTAATCCACGGTGAGGGGCCGGTGTGTGGAGCAGAGAGGGAAGTCCAGGCCTCCAGGGGGACCCCAAATGAGTCCAGCCCAGACCTGTGACCCCGCTCAGCCGCAAGGTTCCAGACCCTTCTCTTTGTATTAGCTGAGGAAAACATCAGGTTTAGAGAAGAAGAAATCAAAACAGAACTATTGTTAATATGGAAAAAAAACTAATGTGTACATAGATTACCATAAAAACCCTTATATTTTAAAATATGTTCTATTATTTTGAAATGAATTGGTTTATAACCATTGATTATAGTAATTATATGATGTCATGTGAAATAATGTGTTCTTAAAGGAGGTTGGCTCGTTTTTCATTTAGCAAGAAAACATGTACAAAGCTTGTGTTTAAAATTATAATAATAACAGAAGAAGAAGAAGAAGAAGAAGAACTTTATCCGACCGGGTTCGAATCCCGGTCGGAACAGGGCGTTTCTGAGTGGAGTTTGCATGTTCTCCTTGTGTTGGTCTGAGAGACTAATGCCCAAAAAAACAATTGTAAACCGCTTTGTGACTCTGGTCTGTGAAAGGCGGTATATAAATAAAGATTACTTACTTACTTTATGAAGAAGAAGAACTTTATTGATCCCAGAATGGAGAGATCAAGGCAGAGTGCTGCTACTTCCACACTCCTTATGGACAAAGTGGGTCAAGTGTCTTGCCCAAGGACACAACCAGGGCACAAGGACACAGAGGGAATCGGTGGAGAAGGTCTTGTGGTGGGCTCGAACCTACAACCTTCAGGCTCAAAGGCCAATACTCTACCAACTGAGCCACATGATACCACAGCACAGGGCTCCACGGTTCTTTCCCCAGAGACCTTTTACATCCACTTTTTAAGAACAAGATGAAAGAACACAACAGCCACTGATTTTTACCCGAAATAAAACCTATAAACTGCTGTTGGAAGGGTCCGCACGAGTCCAGATTTGGCTGCCGTGATCTCGTTTGTTCTTCAGGTGTCGGGAGAATGCTTTGCTCGTGTGACAGAGGTTTCAGCTTCAGTCCCAAAGATTCCGTCGCCTTCATCTGAGTTTGGAATAACTGTGTTAACAACTTATCGCTCTGCTCAGCCCCGTCCACTCCGCTCACGCCACACAACAACAAAGGACACCAGAACAAACTCAGAACCTTCTGCTCTGTTTGAAATAAGCTCGAGGCATTAACAGATTAGGTTTTGTGGCGTGTCAGGTGATAAACAAAGCAGGGACATTTATGCTCTGATAATAAAGAGAAAGGTTGTTACTGAGGTTGAGATAATTACATTTATACTGATCTCAAAAGTTTTACCAATAGCAGATTAGACTTCAATCAGTTAAACAGCCATTGGTTTAAAATGTTGAGCAGATTAACCAATGTTTACAATAAAAATCAATCAATCAATAAATCATTTGTTTTTATAGAGCCCATAAAATAGTTAAAAAGTGTTAAAAAATTGTCACTGTGAGTCTTAAAAGTCAGTCTGAATAAATATGTTTTGAACCTGGATTTAAAAAAGGCCAAAATCATTAAGGACAGGCATGTCAGGGGGCAGCTTGTTCCAGAGTCTGGGTCCTGGACTGAGAAGGACCGGTCCCAGTGTCCAGACCTAGTCCTTGGTTCTTCCTGGAGGAGCTGAGTCGAGGACCTCCATGATCTGAGTCACCAACAGTCAAAAGTTTGGACAGAAATCACAAAAATCTTTGCCAAAGATTTAGTTTTTGTTGTGGGAAAGGTCGAAAGGTATTCATTAAGAAACAAATAATGTTTAGAAAGGAAAACATATACTGAGCACGTGAACTATAGATTATGACCTTTCAATTGAAATAATGGTTAATTTACATTTAATTCTGGAGCTATCTGTCTCTGAGTCTGCGTTTTAAAATAAAAGTAAAATAATCTCAAACCTTCACAAAAATAACAGAAATTGGATTCCTTCAAACTCCTCTTTTTCTGTTTTCAGATTCATTCATTTGACATTTGCAGTAAAACCAGTTTATTACTGAAAACGTGTAATTTCTACCGATTTAATGATGCAATCTGAAACGATACGCTGCTTACACACTCTATGTATTTTATTATCTTTAGCTTGGTCCGTTTAAGAACTAGACTCTGGTTCATGTCCCGCTGCAGCCACTTGGGGGGAGCTGTGAGCCTCATCAGGGACCTCCACAAGTGCGTCTCTCTCTTTTGTGTTCAAGTAAGACATTTCTAACACTCTCCGCTCGTTCCCAGGCCTCTGCTCCGCTCTCGGCTGAAGTCAAGTCCTACCTCGCTAATGAAGCACATGCATTTCATTTGAGCTCACGGCCTAATGTCCCGGAGGAGTATGAGGATGAGGGGAGAAGGGAAAGGTCCAATAAAACTCTGCAGGGTTTGAGTTCGGGGCCGGGGCACCAGAGCTGGTTGTAGCACCTGTCACACGCGCCCTGGGACCACTGAATGCTATTGATGAGTCCGCGGAGGTCAGAGTGGGCCTCCCTGCATCTCGGGGGCAAAGCCGGTGGGATCGTTGGACACCTGTCAATCACAGAGGGGAGCTACAGGGTCTGCGCTCGGCTACTGTGTCCCGGGCCTAAGGCGTTTAAGCTAGTGCGCAGCGAGATCAGGACGTTCTCACGGAAACCCTATAACAGGATAATAATCTTACAATGTACAGCCACATTCACAAACGTTTCACACACTCGCACTTTGGTGAGATAGACTTGGATTTCTTGAACAACAGCGGTTTCTCTCTCTGTTTTTTTTTCTTTTTACATAAATTGCACATTTTTTTGGATAATCTGCAGATATATGTTTAGAGCAGTGAGTCCCAAAGTCTTCATCAATGAAAAGACACCTCACACTTTGTACCCAAGAATTTAAAATGGTTTTATTTTTAGATTTAGACCAAAATACAATCACAATTTGAGATGTACATTTGTCTGGACCTCTCTTTGGGAAGCACTGAAAGAGACAAAAATATGTCAATAATATATTCTACAAAAATACCACTTGAAGATCTAAACCTGCTTTTGGACTTCTGTGCTCGATTAGATGAGTAGGTGCAAGTTTGAGGAATTATATGTGCGGAAAATACATGTCGCAATGAAAAACCGTTCTTGTTTGTTTGTTTGTTTTGCTCCCTCCCTATAGCCTTGTGATATCACTTTTGATCTGAATACATCTGTCTTTAAATGAAGACTTGTTTCCAGAGCAGGACGGTCCGACAGTTCACCTCCAATAATGTTGCTGAAGCCTTTTAGGAAACTGCTTTCGTTCAGGTGCCGTCTGTAAAACGTGGGTGATCCAGGCGGACATGACCTATAGCCTTTTGCTCTGAGCATAAAAGATGTCCAGACTGTGCAGAGAGGAAAGGAGGGAGGGAACTATGAGTGATTGAATTAAGTTTTTTAGTTCTGAGAGGGCCTGGAGGGTTTAGTGAGAAATCAAATCCGTCTTCTCCGCTGTCTCCTGGTTGTCCACTGGGCCTTGCAGCTGTCCTGTTTCCCTCTGATTTTTCTCTGTCAGATTTCAGCCTATAATTAGCAGAAAGACCTCAGTGACTCTGTGCACACATGTGAGTGTGTGCCTGGTCAACGCAGAACGAATGGCCTAATTCCCCCTCCCCACGGCCGTCACATGTAGAGGCTTCAGCTGGAGCCCGGTCTCAGAGGACTCCACGTCTTAAAGGCCAAGCCCGCAGAGGTCTTCAGAGCAGTGCCAAGGGGCATCTGTAAGCCCCCCACCGAGTCTTTCCCCTGCTCCGAATTCCAGCTATGGCATCGGACGTCCCACCTGCTGCCTCCATTGCATTTAAAGAGCGGGTTTATAGATCGGGCTAAAGATCCTGTGAAGTTACAAAGGGAAGGAACTGTGTGTGCCGCTGTGGGAACGGAGCAACCGTTTTCCATTACGTCCACTAAGCCTCCACAATAAGAGCCGGTTGTATAATGTTGGACAAGGTCGTGTTTGACAGGTCGGACTGGGGACCGGCCCCCTGGGGAGTCCTGTCAGGGTCTAAGTGGACTCAGATCCATCAGTGTCATGGTGGAGGGCAACCTGTTACTGTCTCATCGTCCCATAATAAACGACTCGCAAATATCTGCTTATGACTGACATTAGCTTTTGTAGATACAAGAAATTGGATTGGATCGACTTTGTGACTATATTTGGATTCATGGGATTCATATTAATGTTTCTTTCAACCTTTTTCCCATTCATAAGGCAATATACTGATTGGTTTTCATTGGATATTTATCTATGAAAAAATAGTGTAATGCACAAATGTGGTCACTGTGTCGGACCGTTGTGATGAAGAGGGAGCAGTAAACATGAATATACAGTTTAATCTGTGTTCTTTCCCTCACCTCGGGTCATGAGCTTTGGGTTATGACCGAAAGGACAAGATCGCAGATATTAACAGTGAAAATGAGCTTCTTCCGCAGAGTGGCTGCTCCTTTAAGCTGTGTTCAGACCGGACCGTGCTGCGGCGAGCTTCAAAGCAAAGTCAATGGTGACGTCCGTGTGAGGAAGTGCATGGACGTCGCAGCACATTAATGCCGCAGCAGACGCCTGATCCTGGGTTCGAATTCCGGTCGGAACAGGGCCTTTCTGAGTAGAGTTTGCATGTTCTCTCTGTGTCTATGTAGGTTTCCTCCGGGTGCTCCAGTTTCCCCTACCACTGAAAACATGTACAATAGGTCTGTGCCTCCTGTACTGGCCCCTCCCCATCTCTGTGTGGAGTGACAGACTAATGCAAACAATTGTAAACCACTTTGTGACTACTACTACTACTTTCTTACCCTGTTACGGCGTGAAAGAGGCGGTGGGAACAGCGGCGAGATGCAGCAAAAACAGGAAATGAAAATCCTTGCGGCAACCAATCAGAGAGCAGCAAGTCACAGTGGGACATATTCCGGTCCAAACAGGAAAATGAAGTCACTCGAACACAACCAAAACAGGAGCTAAACCAGGACTAAACCAGGACTAAACCTGGACTAAACCTGGACTAAACCAGGACTAAACCAGGACTAAACCCAGACTAAACCAGGACTAAACCCGGACTAAACCAGGACTAAACCAGGACTAAACCAGGACTAAACCCGGACTAAACCAGGACTAAACCCGGACTAAACCAGGACAAAACCAGGACAAAACCAGGACTAAACCAGGACTAAACCCGCACTAAACCAGGACAAAACCAGGACAAAACCAGGACTAAACCAGGACTAAACCAGGACTAAACCAGGACTAAACCAGGACTAAACCAGGACTAAACGCGGACTAAACGCGGACTAAACGCGGACTAAACCCGGACTAAACCAGGACTAAACCCGGACTAAACCAGGACTAAACCCGGACTAAACCAGGACAAAACCAGGACAAAACCAGGACTAAACCCGGACTAAACCAGGACAAAACCAGGACAAAACCAGGACTAAACCAGGACTAAACCCGGACTAAACCAGGACTAAACCAGGACTAAACCAGGACTAAACCCGGACTAAACCAGGACTAAACCCGGACTAAACCAGGACAAAACCAGGACAAAACCAGGACTAAACCAGGACTAAACCCGCACTAAACCAGGACAAAACCAGGACAAAACCAGGACTAAACCAGGACTAAACCAGGACTAAACCAGGACTAAACCAGGACTAAACCAGGACTAAACGCGGACTAAACGCGGACTAAACGCGGACTAAACCCGGACTAAACCAGGACTAAACCCGGACTAAACCAGGACTAAACCCGGACTAAACCAGACAAAACCAGGACAAAACCAGGACTAAACCCGGACTAAACCAGGACAAAACCAGGACAAAACCAGGACTAAACCAGGACTAAACCCGGACTAAACCAGGACTAAACCAGGACTAAACCCGGACTAAACCAGGACTAAACCAGGACTAAACCAGGACTAAACCAGGACTAAACCCGGACTAAACCAGGACTAAACCAGGACTAAACCAGGACTAAACCCGGACTAAACCAGGACTAAACCCGGACTAAACCAGGACAAAACCAGGACAAAACCAGGACTAAACCAGGACTAAACCCGCACTAAA